CTGGAAAACAATCACGGACACTCAGCCTGCTGTTACTGAGAGGGTCAGCAATAGCAACAGGTTATTTTGTAGCATCAGGTATTTGTAAGGAAAATGATGAGATGAGGTTCCATTAAGGCCCTGAAAGAGGCACCCTGAGGCTTGTCTGTGTAACAGTCAAGGGCGGTCTGTCTGCTACTACATATAACTAATACTAAAAAATAGTAGCAGCAACACTTTTTCTCTTCCTCTCTTCTCTTACATGAAACCTTGCTCGATCAGTTTATCATGTTCCAAAGAAACAGAAGGCATATATATGTCCTTAGAGGTGCACAGTTTATATTTCCTCCTGAAGAGAAAGGAAGACTGGTCTGCTGAGTATTCACCAGGATGGAATTCAAAACCTCTTGCGAACATTGTGTGCCTCACATCCTCTTGCCTGCACTGTTCAGCTAACATTTTCATTGCTGGGATGAGACACAGCTGTTCCAGGGAGGGCTAGGCTGGGAACAAGCACCACAGCAGGATTGCTTCAGGCCCAGCACTCATAGGTAAACTGCAGGGGATGGAGGCATCGTATACTGGCCATGACTAAACAGCTGGAGTTCACACCAGAGGAAGTTCTTATAATTGTGTGGTTCCTTCTCCAAGAACAAAGAGTACCAGCTCATCTGCCTTTTCGCACTTTCTGTCAGAGCTCAGCACCCTGAAGCTCTCAGTGTAGTTATTCTCACATCAGCCTTAGGCGGTGAAGATGTGCTCTTCTTTATAGTTTATAAATGAGAGTCTTAGCCAAAGCAAGTAATTTTCCAGAGCACCACAGTGAACCTGGAGCAAGAGAGAAAACTCAATTTAGCCTCCCCTGTCACAGGGCTACTGCCCTGCTCACCATCACCTCCCCTTTCATATCAACCAAGTAAAAAGGCCGTTATGTGGTTTCTGTTGACCTGAGGAGATCAAATGGGATGAGCTGTATTCTTACAGATAGTCACAGATGCTAGCAGTTCTCATTTGTTGCCAGAGGCTACCCTAGCACCTAATAGTATTAACGAGGACAAAAGAGATTATTGTTCCTAGGTGGGCAAATGCTTTGTATTTATACTTTGTCTTCCTCGAGGAATCACAAGCATTTTGTGTCTATCAAGAACACATCATATTCTCACAGATGGGAATATAAGTAGCATCATCTAATAATCGAGTGAAACACAGGACAGTTAAACAGATTAGCCAGGGAGAGAGATGGGAGCATAGCCTGTAATGCACCGTTCAATAGCCTTTATTATCCTTCTTCCAGTCACTTATTTAGATGGCAAAAGCCTCAGTCTAACCTGGCCTAATACCCAAACCTGAATTGAAACAAAATTAAGCTTTAAAAAAAACTGGTGCTTATTGATTTTGTATTATTTACAATTTTCTGTCCCAGTTGAGATGGATACAGAAGTGTCAATACATTAAGAAGGTGACTCATCTCGCAGCTATTTTTGGCTTTAAGCAGTAGGAACTGCAGAGTTGCATGAAAATGGAATGAATACAAAAGCAAGTCAACAAAATACACAGAGGCAAATATGATAGGTGCTTTAAAAACAATAGCATAAGCAATTTCATTAAGTTGTATGCCTTTTAGATCCCAAACTCTTATTTTAAATCTAAAATGCAACTGTGACTGCAGGGAGAAATCATCTTCATATGAGGAAAACAAGGCCCAAAAACTTTGGAACATGAGCATGGTAGGTTGACAAGCATAGGAGACCATGGTCCAGCTTTGGCACAATTACATCTAGTGCAACCCACCATACTGTCCTGCACCCCACTTTGAGTACCTCTGAAAATGCTCATCTACCATGTTACATGGACTCCCTTCTACCTCTGTAGGGTCTTGAAAGTTTTAGATTAGAATTAAAGGCAAGCGGTTTAATCTTCTCTTGGTTGAAACAGCTGTGATTGAAGTGCAGTCTGCGTTGGCAACGTGTGCTTCTTGTCCTTGAGCAGTACACCTACCCTTGTCCAACATCATGCTCTGAGGACTTAGAAACCAAAATGACTGCTACAGTTTATCCATTTCCTTCTTTTCCAGTCCTGTGAGAATTACTTGATTATTTGGGTAGGTGTGGGTGCATGTCTGGGAGAGGAACAGATCCAGGAGAGCCCACCACGAGAGGGCCAAGATGTGGAGAGAAGTGTTGCAATGAGTTGCAACACACAAGGCTCCTGGCCTTAACCAGTCAATTATCATTGCCCTCAAGCCAAGATCTACTAGCTTTGGATCTGATTTGACTCAGTTCCTGAAGCACACTGGAAATGTCTGTCATTAAAAAAAAAGAAGTAAATATAATAAATACAAATTATTACCTTTCACTCCTCAGTAGTCAGAAGGATTTTGAAACAAGCTTAATGGGGGAAATTTTATTCTTTCTATCTGTAGCTTTTCAAGATTAACAATGCTTCTTTTGTTTTGGAATAATAGCTACCTGGTAGCTGTGGGTCACTGGGCTGTCTTCAAGGTACCCTTGCATTCAATTGCACATCCAATTAACTTTTATAGCTAAAACATATTTTTGCTTTTTTTTTCCCCTGCTGCCATCAAAATACTAATTTGAACAAAGACAAGTGCCGCAGGGCAAAGACACATACATACCAAACTATCAGGCTTTCTCTAATCCCATGGGTCAAGGATAGCTTCACCACAGTCTGCAAGGAGGTAGTCGCATCTTCAGGCTTACTTGCTCACTTCAGTGTAGATAGACACCAAAGAACACAGTGTTTCCCTTTATAGCTCAATTTAATGCAAGAAACTGCTGGAATAAGCTAGCTTTTTGATCCATAAAGCAGCACTGTAATTGACATTTCATACTGGTTTTCCTTCTTATCATCAGTGCTGTCAGAAGTCTCTTGATTCATTATTGTGGCAATGGAAACACTGAAACACCAAGACAGCAGCATGGGTAAATGTGGAAGATATAACATTACTGACCCACTATTCCAGGACGCTGTGGGTGTCCCGGGAGATTAAATTGCTGGAGGGAAACACAGCCTTGCTGATGGGTAGCTTTAGATCCATAGAAGCTTGTGAATAGGCTCCAGAATTATTATTAGGGAGTGAGTGAAGAGAGCAGAGCACAGGGGAACAGCTCTTGTGGGAAAGCAAGCAGATAAAACTTTATAGCACCCTAATTTTTGAAACAACCTCAAATTACCCCATGCAAGTAGGTCTCAGACAGTGCCTGTGACCCTATACATACCAACACAGCTTGATGGAAGTGCAAAGCTGCCTCTAAACACTTCTGCCCTGCACTGGGAGCCAGAATCCCAAAACCTCCCCTAACCCTAATGTTGGATATGACACAACAGGGTCTAAACTTGTGACAAAGCCAGCTATGCACCATAGCCATGTACTGGAAATCCAGGGGGAACAGGATTGTTGTCAGAAACTTGCCCATAACCTTAACCCTAGCCCACCCAATTTGGTACAACGTAAATTTGAAACCAAAACTCAAAACGCAGACTTGTCAAGAAGCTGGGTAAGTGACAAGAAAGGTTTCATAACAGCTCGGTTTTGCCAGCCTCCTCAACGGCTCTGCAGCACCACCAGCTCTTTGCAGGAGCGCTCAGGGTATTGCTGCAGCCCTGCCTGCATATGGGCAGGAGCTGAGTACTAGGAAGTTGCCCAGCATAGAAGAGCCAGCATAGAGCCAAGGCATACCTGGAGCACCTGGCTCAGCCCTGTGTTCAGCCCCAGTCAAAGACAGGGAATCATTTCAAAAAGAGGCTAAGGATCCTGCAGAAATTTTGCCCAGCCTCACTACTGTAAATCCACTTGAGATAGTGAACAAACATGGCAACTTTTCCAGGAACCGTGTTTCTTTATTTAAATAAAAATTAGTGCCAGTAGAAACAATAAACTTTAAATACATAAGACAATTATATACAACTCAACGTTAGGAATTATGTACATCAGGTTTTTTACAGATACAAATACATTTATACCAAAAGGACGAATGAGAAAACAATGGAAAATGTGACAACTTGCGCATGTCAGTCTCATTTGGAAAGTTTCAGGATTCAAGTGATTCCAGGCAAAGCGCCAAACTTAATTTGGCTTCTTTCAAACTTAAAACAGTCCCATTTGGAATAAATCTACCAAAAAGCTTTATATGGTCTGATCCAAAGTTCACTGAAGTCGATGGAAAAAATCTCACTGCCTTCAGTCTGAACCGAATCAGGCCCTTTCTGAGCACAATGGAGCCTTTGTTCTGCTGTGATGAGACAGACAGCGATACCTCTGCAGGCTACATCATATTAACTCTTCGAGCCAAAAGCAGAGCTCTTCCTACTAAACAGCAGAAGTACATTAGGATCTTGCCTCAGTATGTTTCTGCTGTTCAGCACTCATTTTTCAAGCTGTCTCTCAAGCTTTACTGCAAATGAGTAAATCACAGAGCCGTTATAGCGCAGGAAATACGTGGAGACACTTTGCAAACATCTTGCTGTGCAAAGCTTTAGATTCAGGCTCTTCAGCCCTCATGCTTCAGAACTAATCCAAACATTGCAATAAGTTATCATAAAATATAAGGTACAAGTGAAATATTATTTTTTTATGTTCACTCTTACTTCTTTTAACAGTGCAATAATTTAGTAACTAATTTCATGAACATTTGAAAAAAAAATCACAGTACCATTAAGTTAGGAGGGGGAGTTTGTGGTGGTTTTAAAAACTAGTTACTAATGACTTTATAGAAATGCATCTGTCAAACGCGAGCTGTTAAAAAAATGTAATAGTAATGCAATGTTTATCTACATTGGCTTAAATAGAGCAGAAAGTCTAGATTCTTTAACAATGTAAATGTGTACAGTTGTACTGACCTCAAATGGAGGATTTAACTCCAATGGAGAAGCACAAAATCTTGCGCATGTCCTCTGAAGTCAGGAAGACTCAGCTGACGACTTCAGTGGGGCCAGAATTTCTCCCTTGCTAGGTGTCCTGGGCTCAGCAGTAGCTACTGCTGAACCCAGGACATTAGGTTAAATTCTATTCTGAATTCCACCTATTTTTTCAAGGGGGCGTAACAGAGCAGCATTTGTTCAAGCCTTTCTACATCTTACACCTTGTAACAAAGATCTTTTAATGTCTTCTTTAACTTACAGATATATGCCTTTAGTGATCAAATGTACATATCTTTAAAATTACAAAAGCCAAAAACAAAACCTCTTTTCCTACCAGAAGCTCAGTCAAAGGCTGTATTGCAGCAGAAGTTGGTGAACCTGACCCAGCCAGGACAGGTACAACTAAAGCAAAGATAGATATAGTGGCATGGATCTGAAACTGAGCTTTACAAATCTCCTAGGAATTTGATGCCCTTTTCCTTTTCTTTTTTTTTTTTTCCCTCTTTTTCTTTCATTCTTTCTGTGCTGAAGTCAGTCTCCAGCCATGATACAATCTCCCTTCAACTACAGCATCAACAGATTTTCAACTTTTGAGGCCTCTGAGCAAATCTCCTGTTGCCTGTGGTTTGTTATAGAAAAAAAAACACAGTAAAAGTACTTCTAGTCTATCACAGTTTTGTGTGAATAAGCATTATCCATCATCTTTAACAACCAGGCACTTGTGTTAGAGTAACTTCCCTAAACATTCCCCAGATATCTGCAGAATTCCAAAATATGAAGGAACATGCCAGTAATAGTTACCTTGTTACAAAATATATATATTCTCCTTGTTCTTAGCTTTTATGGTAAGAAATAATAATGGAAAAATTGAAATTAAGCATCCCAATTACGTGCAAGTTACACTTTGGAGTTGGGTACCACTGCTTCTTGTCCTGCCAGCTCTCAGGAACACCTTGGGCCCAGATGCACAGCTACCTGGTTCAGAGTTCGTTGGAGAACAGGAAAGTAGAACCAAAAGTTCTTAGTGGGAGCTCCACTCACGCTTTGGCAGCTGATCAAGGGAGCCCTGCAAGTGCTAGGAGTTCTTATGGATGTTTTCCGCAGATCCCTCGCTGCTCTCATTGAGGAGCATTTCTGACACTTCCCCCAGTTCAGCATCCAGCACTTCCTCCTGGATGGTGAAATGCACATCTGGGGAGGAAGATTCAGAGCTCACACTGCTGCCTTCCATTGAGCAGATGGCACAGGACAGGGATGGCACCATGCTCTCCTGCAGCATGTTCAGCATCATGGGGATCTGGACAGATTTCAGCCCCGATATGGTTGGTAGAGGCTTCACAGCTTCCCCCCATTCTCTCTCCTCATCTTTGTAGAGCAGAAGCAAATTGGACTTCTTCTCTTTTCTTTTGGATTTCATGTAGCCAAGCATTATCCCTATCAGGAAGATCCCATAGAAAGACATGACGATCAGAATGTAAAAATACTCATTGCTGCTGCTCTTGTCTGTGTTGCGGGATTCAGCATCAAGCATGGCTTGGGTCATGTTTGCATGGTCCATTTTCAGCATGGAGAAGCTAAACCCTGGAGGAGAATGTGTATGTATGTGTAAAGTCAAACTTCAGATCAAAGATGTAAAAGAAACATCTGAAAAAAGATACCCCAAATTATTCCTTTCTACCTGTAATATGTAATCTTACAAAACACACACCTGATTGGAACCTGCAGTCTATCATAACTCTGCTTTACTACTGTAATTGACTGAATTGTTCTTCAGACACAGAAAACATTAGAAGAAAGAAAATGCATATTAAATCACATCAGAGTTCTATGCTGAATTATAAAACACCCACCCCACATGATTAAAGAAAAAAAAAACGTATATAGAAATACTCTGCTAGGCATTTAAACATAGTTTTGTTCTATTTGACCATTCTTCCATAAAGGGGAGAAAAGTTAGAAGCATTATTTTATTCAACGATTCAGGGGAAAAAAAATAATCAAAAAGCAACTTACGTTGGTATGCAAATAATTCGTCCTTGTGCAAAGCTCAAGAGACCTTTCCTCTACCAAATGCCGGGTGTTCTGAAAACTTTCCTCTGCTGCAGTTGGAATAAATAGCTCTAAAGAAACGTTTCATCACGTGTTTTAGAGGCACAGTTTATAATAGTTTTGTGTTGGAGTCAACAGATGAACTTGAAGGATTGCAGTTCAACCCACTGAACCCTTAACAGCTGTGAAAAGAAAAAGAGTTGGGAATTCAGATTTTACTCTTTCCTTACCAGTTCAGCACTAGCTCTTTGAGCCGGTGAATCTGTCCTTTTTTACTACCACCCCAATTGCTGAATCTGACCTGTTACACTGAATATCCTTTGAGTACTCTTGGGTACAGCAGAATGGAAAACCTGCGGACCATCATTCTGCATTTGTCATAAAATATAGCAAAATATACTGTGAATTTTGTAGCAGCCACTATCAAGTTATTTAAATGGCTGCTCTATGTAGTTTTCCCTAAGAGATGGTGGAGGAAACAGGATTATTTTCTTTGCCTGGGACTAGTGACAAAGCTTTACAAAGTGTGTGCAGAACAAAAGCGGTGACCTTCAACTCATGATGCAGCTCCACTTTGGCACAAGTTTTGGGACTGTGGGAGAGCTACACCTGGGTCTCATGTGAGTTTTGAATGGAGGAGTGCTGGGGCCACCTAACTTTTGCCGTCAAAGCAGTAACTATGGATTTTGGTTCTCCACATAATCAGTGGAAGGGTGCAGACTCCTCCAGAGAGCAATTTGGAGCTCCTGAAGTTGCCAGCCCCCTATTCTCACTGTAGAAGCAGCCAAGTGCTATGTGGTCTGCATGCTGTTTATGCATAAATAGACCAGGACTGCTGAGTTAATGCAGGTTTTAGTATGAAGGGGCATTAACAACTTCTGAGCAGAGGGATGCCCTCTGAGCGACTGCTGGAGGCTGTTGCAGCTGGCTTCTGGGCTGAGCAGGAGGCGTCCCAGACTGCCGGGGAGGGCAGAGTGAAGATGCAGGCTGGGTTGTGGGGGCCCACAGAGTTCCCGGTCATCAGCTCAGTGATACAGGAGGCAGCAAGACCCCTTTTCAACACGTAAGCAGCAGCACAGGCCATGGGAAGAAGGAGGCCCAGCTTGCACCTTGGGGATTTCACTTCCTTATTCTCTCCATCCCCATTCTTCACACACAAAGCCCAATTAGTCAGGCTCTACATGTGAATGTCACCCCTTCTGCAAAGCTTCAAGGATGTTTATGTAACGGAACACTCCACTTCCAGAAAGTAGTTGACTGGTGCTGGAGTTTCCCAACGGCAGGTCTGGTTTTTTTTTTTCCCTTGCAATCACTTGTGGATTCTTTACATAGACAGCAAATTCTTTTCCAAATTCTGCCCTCACAATCCCTCTGAGGTAAAGGCAGATAGGATTAACCTCTCTTCACATGAAGGAGAAGGCAAGGGAGAGGAGTTAAGCAACTGTAACTGAAGAATTCAAGAAAAGACATAACCGTATCTGTGTTTTGAACCAGCGTTTTCCATTATTTCTCTGAACAACTCCACAAAGAAAAGTAAAAAGAAATTACATTAGCCAGATTCCCTTCTTTGCCCCTTAAAATAGAGGTTCCACCCCTTCGGATGTTGGTTTTATCTTCTTGCGCATTCCCATGTGATAGCTCAGGAGCTGTTGATGTTGGCCTAGTGTCTACTGGGATTTCATGTGACAAAATCTGTCTGCAGCACCGGCTTGCCAAGTCTGGATTCTTCTTCCCGTTCCCGACAAATTACGAAGCAGGCAGCAAGAGCATGTTAACTGTTAGTCTAAAGCATAACCCAGAGCAAGTATCTGGATTTTCTAGCTGACTTTGGAGAAATTTTATTTCACATGTTTCTCAGCTCCATATGATATTTTTCTCCCCCATTCATGCCTGGGGATTTGGAATTTGGAAAATTAAAGACAACAAGTCAGGTTTTACCAACACCCATCTATGCAGGACTGTTGCAGAATGGTGAGGAAATGCCCAACATTGTTGTGTCATTGAAGACTGACTCAATACATGGAGAAATCCCAGCTTTGAAGCTGGTTGATCCTGGGAAAAACACCGCCTAAAGCCTGTCCCCCTGCCTCCTGTGGTCAGTGTTACACACAGGTCGTCACCCACCTCAACAGGAAGAGTGCTTTCAGACATCTGGAGGCACTGACACACAACAGCTCCTGCCTGTGAGCCAGCAGAGCAGGGCCAGACCCTCTTCTTCAGGTGCCCATGAGTGAGAATAAGGTCTCTTATTTGCTCCATTCATGTTCTTCATGTAGGTGCAGGTCTGTGCAAGGTTACCAAGATGCAATGCAGCACATAGCAGGAGCACAGGAAGGCTGGTCAGGTACATCCACAGGTTTATGCAATCCCATGAAATTCAACTGAAAGATGACCGAATTGCATGATTATGCAGAGTTACTGCCTAAACTCTTTCCAACTATGTTTACTTTAGTTAGCTGATGACAACAGCTCCTCTCCATCTGTTAGCCCATGATTCTGAAAAACAATTTCATTTTAAAAAGGCCTGGAAGGAATCCCTGAGTCTTCTATAGACATGAAGAGGAGGGATAAGAAGACACTGGGGAATAACCACCTGAAAAACATACGCCACTTGCTTACTGGTGCTATAAGTAAGATTTTTCAAGCTGTTGCCTGTGGAAACTATATTTTAGTCTAATAACAAGGCCAAGAAAATAGAAAATTTGAGCCTTTTGAGTCTGTGTTTCAAAACTAGTTTTGCTTCACATTATACTGTAAAATCATTGTTCACAGCAAAAATACTTGCTTAGTTTGAAGTACCTTTTTCTTTTTTTAAATTAAGGTTATCAGCTGTTTCTTTATTGATGTTTCTTTCTTCCATTCAGGTCAATTTTTTCCCCTAAACGTCACAGAATTTCCCCTGAAATTTCACTTACAGATCTTTTATGCTATCGTCAGTTGCCTTTCACATGTTCCTCTTCACTTTCTTTGCATCAATCCCAACCTAGGCTATAATGTTTAAGAATAATCCTCATGCTGTTGCTCCCACTTTCCAGATCCCCCCTTTGGAAGACATTTAGACTAACAAAGCAGAGCAACTGCCAAGCACTCCAGTGATGGGAAGTTCACAACATAGTTGCTGATGCCAGATTTTTTTTTCTCAAGGTCCCTGTCTCGTAGAGAGCCTTTTGTGGCAGCAACCTCCGTCACCAAAGGACGCAGAACTTGAGGCTTGAGGCATCCCATGGTGCAGGAATTCTTCACAGCATGGCTTAAGGGATAGTATAATGTGAACCCTTTCTCCAAATAAGAATGTGAGGACAGTCAGAAAACTAACCAAAGACAGAATCCATTATGAAAACAACATAAAACATCCGCAGAGACTCGGATGACTCTCTGCAGGCTGCCATGGAAAATACATGCCTAACCCTTCACTGCAGGCATAACCCACAGTCTGATGCTGCATTTACCTTTCTCTTTTTTCCAGTTACTGAGTTAATAAGACTAAAGGTACAAGAAACAACTGTTAAAGGGCTAGTTCCTGTGAGAAGCTGAGCCTGTTTAGTAAGTGTGTGCTAACAGCATCACTCTAAAGAGTATCTGAGCAAGTGCATTTTTGCAGTAATCACCTGAAAATATAAAAAAGAGGGAAAAAAAAGAGAAAGCAAATAGAAATGGGAAGGACAGAGGGGTTGGGTTTTTTTTCTTCCTGCATGTAGACATTTAATGGAAGTAATGGTTGGAAATTCACCAGTAGGGAGAAAAAGAAGGGAGAGTTTTGCCATGCAGATATTGATTTAGTTATGATTTAGATCTTCCAGACACTGCAGTTAGGAAAGGACAGCAAAGATGATCAGTATTTTTCACTCGCATATGTGATTTCAATTAAAGTAAAATTAGAGATCGAGACCTGAGTTTGACACCATAACGGTAGACACAGTGAAAGGGTTGTTCCTGCCATGCTGAGATGTACGCACTGACTTTTGGGCCGGCTGCAAAACACAAACCTCACTGAGGACCTGATCCAAAGCTCCTTGAAGTCAAAGCCCCTTAAAAAGTTAATGGCAGTGCCTCACCTAAAGTCAGATGCCTCACCTAAATGGCAGTGCCTCACCTAAATGTCAGATCAAGAACATCACCTTCTCTTTTCAAGTTCTTGTAACTCAGAGACAATTTTCAGTGTAGCCTCTGAGTGTGTTGGAATAAAAGAGCAAGTTCAAAAGCAGCAAGCAAGTCATGCACTCATTCTCGGAGTAGAGAATGAGTAGCAGCCAACACAAGCCACGTGCCTCCTCCTTAACAAGCCTACTTACAGTATGAAATCTATGAGCTTTACTACACACTTTTAACAGTTCTGTGCTTCAGTTCACCCACTTGTGGAATGAATCTAAAATCTACAAATTACATGTGCCGTGAGGCTACAGTATGGTAACGTTTGTACAGATCACTACATGAAAAGGTAATAACTATTGTGTTCATAAGTGCAACAGCATTACCAGGTGTCTGGGCTGGTATCTGAGCAATTCTCACACAGCTCTAAGTTCAGTGTCACTTTCCATCACTCTTCCTTATTTTTCACACTGCAGAAATGGATGACATTTTTTCATATACTTCACACAAGCAATTTCTAGAGGAAGGTAACAATTTTCTCAGTGTTATCCACAATACACTGTGTTACCATCTGGATATCAAATTGAAGTAATGCTCTGCCCAGTTATTAACTGCAATAAGCTTAGTAAAATGCTACACTCTGCCTTGATACCTTACAGTCTTCACTGTTGAAAACATACAAATATAAGTCCAGAAGATTGCATACATCATCCTTTTATACATCTTCAAGGTTTAGCTTGCTTTAAGTCAAATTCTATTTAATTTCCATAGCAGATCCCCACATCATGAAGCGCCAAGATTCTCAGGTGTTCCCTGAACCCAGAACAGCAAGAGTTTTCTGGTTTTATCAATAGTAGTAAATACGGCGCTCAGAAGGTGGCCATCTGCCCTTGTGTGCTCAACTCTAGCAATGGCAAGAACTTTCCCAGAAGTCATGTCTGGATCATTGCAATTACCCTCCAAGCACACAACAAAGATCACTAGGGCAAATTGGTTTCTGATCTTGAGAGATGACAAGCAACAGAAAATCTCAGTGATATCTGTAATGACAGTTCACACTAAATTTAGCATCTACTGTAAGGCTTGTATTGTGGGAGTCTTGGAGTTTTGGGATAGGCATTTCTTTTCAATCT